GCACGCCCTGAGAGTGCGTTGGAAGGGAGGCGAATCGGGGGACCACAGGAGGCTTGCGAGGACGGGGCAGGAGAGAGGAGGAGGAAGAGGAGGAAGAAGAGGAGGAGGCGGAGGAGGAGGGGGGGAGGGGGAGGAGGGACTAGGAGCCAGCAATCCACCGATGGAATGAGTGGACTATGCTCTATTCCCAGACAGTTTCTCGCAGGCGTACGTGATAAGGTTCCCAATCGCCACAGGGCGTGTGGAGAGCAGAACGAATTGCGGCAGCTGTAAATGCATTATAAGCAGAGCGCTGGACAGAGGAGGAGGTGGAGGGGGAGGGAGAGGAGGAGGAGGAGGAGGAGGAGGAGGAGGAGGAGGAGGAGGAGGAGGCGGAGGCGGAGGAAGAGGAAGAGGAAGAGGGTGACGGGAGAGGATGGTGACGGGAGAGTTTTTTGTTCGGGGGGGGGGCTTGGGAGGCTTGGCAAACCCTGGGCGCGAGTGTCACGCAAGGCGCACTACCCATCCGTCCTCCCGGCCGTTCAGCAGTCCTCGTCGCCTTGCACCGCGCCCGCGGCCGAGGCATCGCAGACGGCGTCTGCGTCCGCGCCCCCGTCGGGACCCAGCAGGCCTTTCCACCCCAGCGACTGCCGCAGAGTACACCAGGCACGGCAGTTTCGTGTCATGCCGACTTCGGCGTCGATTTCTCACACCGCGGGGATCAACCTTGAACGATCGGCCGTTTACGAAACGTCAGACCGTTTAGCATCGGCCGATTCTGGGTCGCCGGCGGCGTTCAACGTTGAACGCCCGCGGCGGGGTCGCCGCCGGTCGACACGACGCGAACCCACCGTAGGGCGACCGATGGGTGCTGCCTTGACTCTTTCCTTGAGGGGGTTCGCCCAGCCACCAGGTTGGTTCGGCGGGAGGCGGTGCTACGGGCCGCAGCGTGTAGGGCGGCCGATAGGTGCTGCCTTAACTCGTGCCCTGGGGGCTCGCCCAGCCACCAGGCTGTGGCTCAGCGGGCAGGCGGTGCTACAGGACGAGGCGGCGATACCTCTGCGGCGGTGGCCAGCCAAACCCTCGATGTGGATATCGCTGTGGCTACCGCAGCTGGCGCTCCAGATGTAAGTACTTCCCCGTCTGCCAGCCTTCTTTGGCAACTCCTGCAAAGCCTCCCATATGTAACACGTTGCTGGCTCCTGCGAATCGACGTCGGAGTCGACGCTATGTGACGCTGAGTCGGCGCTTCCTCGTCAAGTGGCAGACGCTCCACGGTAGCGCACGCTAACGCACTCTAAAGACGGGATTGCGAGGACATACAAGGCTCCGATGATTTGCTACAGAGCCATCCTATGGCCGTTCACCGTCACGTACGGCCCGAGGCCGTCGATCATCGAGCGCGTAACCGCATGGCCATCCGCAGGGCTCCCTGTCGAGAGCCGCTCTGAGACCGTCCGCGTGCGCCACCTGTCCGTAGCAAACCCACTGCTGACCAAAGGGGCCTGGCTTCCCACTGGCATCGGCGCCCCTGGGGGGCCTCCTGGTGCGGACCAACTTTGCGGCGGGAACCGCGTGAGGCCACCCAGCGCGCCTGGGAAGCACGGCCTCGGCGAGGTGGGGGGGAGGAGAGGGAGGGGAATGAGGAAGAGGATCAGGGAAGGAACATGATGATAATGATGATGATGCTGATGATGATGATCATGATGATGATTATTATGATGATGATGATGATGATGATGATGATGATGATGATGATGATGATCATGATGATGATAATGATGATGATGATGATGATGATGGTGATGATGAAACTGATGATGAAACTGATGATGAAACTGATGATGAAACTGATAATGATGATGATGAATATGATGATGATGAGGATGCTGATGCTGATGATGATGTTGATGCTGATGATGCTGGTGACAACGACGTCGACGACGATTGTCATATTTATAGCGATGATGATGATCACTATGATGCTGATCATGATGATGATACTAATGATGATGGTATGATGATGATACTGATGATGGTGCTGGTGATGATTATGGTGATGATGATGCTGCTGATGATGACGGTGATGGCGATGGTGATGATGACGACGATGGGGATAATGGTGATGATGGTGATGGTGATGATGATGATGCTGATGAAGCTGATGATGCTGATGCTGATGATCTGATGATGCTGATCATGGTGATGCTGATGGTGATGATGATGGTGATGATGACGATGACGACGACGATGATGATTTTGATGATGATGGTGATGGTGATGCTGATGATGCTGATGAAGCTGATGCTGGTGATGGTGATGATGATGACGACGATGATGATGATGATGATGATGATGATGATGATGATGATGATGATGATGATAATTATGATGACGGTGATGATGATGATGATGATGATGATGATGATGATGATGATGATGATGATGATGATGATGATGATGATGATGATGATGATGATGATGCTGCTGCTGCTGGTGCTGCTGCTGCTGCTGCTGCTGCTGCTGCTGCTGCTGATGATTATGATTATGATGACGGTGATGATGATGGTGCTGCTGATGATGATGACGATGATGATGATGAGGAGGAGGATAGGAAGGAGATGGAGGGAGAGGAGGAGGAGGACGAGGAGGAGGAGAGGAAGGAGGATGGGGAGCAGGTGCTGGCGAGCGGAGAAACAGAAGGATAAAGAGAAAGAGGGGGAGGAAGGGGGGAGAAGGGGGAGGGGGGAGGAAGGAGGGAGGAAGGGGAGATGGAGAGGGATAAAAAGATGGAGGGGAAGGAGGGGGATGAGCCATAAGAGGAGGGGGAGAACGTCAAAGGAGGGGGAGGAGCAAGAGGAGGGGGACATGCGCATCGGAATGTATTCACTGCCCTTTTTCAAGCTCGGTGCGACCCGACGGAAGAAAGGCAGCCGGAAGCCCAGAGTATGCAACACAACAGGGCCTGGCCCGCCTATGCGTTTCCAGCTTCCCCGTGCAGATGAGCGTGTGCCAGGCGAGAACCAGTCACGTGCCCATGCGCATCGGATCTGACCACACGTCTCCACCAAAAGTAAGGGCTTGAAGATTACCGTCGTGATCGATGATGGGGGACTTTTTTGTGGCAACTCATGGGCGCCTCCCATACCATTTTGTTGGCTCTTGCGAATCGACGCCAATCTACGCTAAACGACGCTAATCGATGCTACATCGACGCTCATCGACTCTAATCGACGCGACATCGGCGCTAAATCATCGATTACCAGGCGTTCATCGACGCCAGTACTCTCTAAATATTGAGGTACGACGGTATACATGGCTCTCATGATTTGCTACCGAATTTTACCGACTCCGCGACCAGACTGGGCTCATGCGGAAGCGCGGTCGTGCTTGCGTTCGGAGTCCAGAAGATCAGGAGCAGAAGCGGGCGGCGTTCTGCTCGGGCACTGAGGTGAGGATGCCGCTCGGGTGTAGGAAATGGCAATTCCAAGACAGGGTGACCGTAGTGCGCAAAGGTCGGGAGGCAAGCAGTTGCTGCCACGCGGTGATTGGCCAACGCTGATTCACGAACGGCGCCGAACAATACGGTCATAAAGCGAAGGAATGAGCAGTCCGGGCACAGAAAGATGGAAAGAAGGCGCGGAGAACTAGGGACAAATCCCACTGTGGTCCCGCCACTACGATGACCAGGACGTGCCCACAAATCAATCAGACAAGCGCTTCGCAAGACGGCGAATGATCTGAATCAAGTCTAAGCAGCTTCGTCACCTTTCGGCCTAGCCTGCAGTGTCTCTGGTAGCCATCGCCAAACTAGGCCGGGACAACACAGCACGCATGCTCCGATGGAGGGCATGGCGGGAGTTGCCGACCGCTCATTCAAAGCATCGCGCTGTCCAGATGCCCCACGCGCACATCTCAATGCCTGCCGAATTGCAAGTGCCAGGATGAGAGTCGACTGTGTAAGACTTGAACGCACAGACGCGCACACACACACACACACACACACACACACACACACACACACACACACACACACACACACACACACACACACACACACACACACACACACACACACACACACACACACACACACACACACACACACACACACACACACACACACACGCATACACACCACACACACACACACACAAAAAACACTTGTTGCGTCGGCGGCTAGGCATGGGACGTCTGCGCTGGCGATGGGGTGCCTAAACGGGGATGCCGGTTAGAGCGAATTGTGCCACCATGCAAGAGAGAGGAGGAGGAGCGGGGGGAGGACGCGGCCGAAAGCACACACACACACACGATAACACAAAGTGCGTCCGAACGCACATGAGGCATAGGCAGTGCGGTGCTTCTTCTCTGCACTGAGAAGCAATCAGACCTCGTCGCTGCACTTGATGGTGGGGAGCACGATGTTGCCAGAGCCCTGCCCGAACAATGCCTCTTTCGTCTGTTGTCTTGCTTGTTTGTTGTTTGTTTCTCTCTCTCCTCGTTCTCTTTTTTTTTTTTTTTTTTTTTTTCTCTCTCTCTCTCTCTCTCTCTCACAAGAGAAAAACAAGTATGCGCAATCAAGGTAAACAATGGTGGCGAGAACCTGACGAAGAGAATTATCCATGAAGCAGCATTCCTTCGCATCAGTGGGCAAACATTCCGGGCTGCAGCCGAGGACGAGCAGGACTGAAAGGACAATGTCGGATCCAGCGCAGTACCAGGTGGATAGAGGTCGCAACAGTTGCAAAGGAATCGCACCAGTCCTCCGGGCGTAGGTGGGTTAGCACATCAGCTGTTCCCAAACCTCCTCTGCCCCGTCCGGGAGGTTTCACCAGTCCCTTGGAAGACTCACACTACCTCCAAGAGCATCCCACGAGAGCCCTAGGAGGGCCTCAAGGGATAATTGGTCGAGCTCGGCGAGGGTGACTGATTGCGTGCCCCTCTTTCTTGGTCGATGGCATCCAGCATGGCATCATGTGGACTCGAAAATCCCCGCCCCCTCCCCAGAGGCCCGAAGGGAGCCCCGAGGTGCCCCCAAAACGCACCCGAAAGGGCCCGGATGGAGAATTGCTGCAAGAGGCTTCCACGAGACTCTCACATGGGGGCCCCGCTTGGTCTGGGGGGCGGCTTGGGCCGATCCTGCTCTAGTCTTGACTGGAACCGCTTCTTCATGGCAGGGTGGGGATACTTTTTTTTTTGGTCGCGGGCGGACGCGGTCACGCAGTCGCCGAAGGAGAGGTCCGGGGCAACAGGGTGGGGATGCACGAAGCGTCAGGACTTGGCGGATCCGTTGTCTGTTACGGAACTGGTGTGGCGGTCCGTCGACGGTCCCGATATCAGAGCATGCCAAGCAAGACGGGACAAAGTGGTTGTTCTGGAATCCACGCCAAAAACCCACTTCAGGTAAATGACGTTGCACAACATCGATATGCTTTTGAGGCGCAAGCAGTACGATTCACTGAACCACTACACCCCAACTCACAAAACACTTTCTCGACTGCTCTCGTGCACGAACAGTTCTCCCGCTCCTGACCTAAATCAACTGGCACATTGAGTGATTGGTATTCCTTGCGTATTTCTCCAACCCACCGCCCTCCGTGTCGAACACGACTTCAAATAACTGAGGTGGCCTGCCAATCGCGATCTTCCCGTAATACTCTGTCACATGGATCTGCCTGCAGAAATACAACCAACTGATGGCATGAAGCAGAAAGCGATACATGGGACCAACGCGCGGTCAGTCTAACATATGAGCATTGCACGGCACCGCTTTGCAAACAATTCGAACTGTGCAAGAACATCCCATGTGACCTGCACTTCTCCGAATAATGGCCCATGGACCTCAACTGGAGCGACCCCTATGCGTGGAACCCTTTTGTGCGAGGAGCCCCGTGTGCACGCGGAAAAGTATGTATGGAACAACTTTTTGTGAAACTGTTGTGGGTGCCCAATATGTATGTGCATGCGTGTGTAACCCTATGTGCGGCAATGCCAAGCCGTGCGTGTTTGGAATCCTTTTGCGCGGGGAACCTTGGTGCGTTGAACCTCTATCTGTGTCGAGCACGATGTGTGAACTCCTGTTTGTGTGGAGCGTGCAAATATGGGCATGGGGCTCTATGGGTGGACCCTTCTGTAACGAGCGATGTGGGTGCGTGCGCGCGCGGAACCGCATGCGTGTATCTCCATCTTACCTCAAGCTCGCTTCACCGAAATGCTGCGGGCCCGAGGCCCAGACTTCTGGGCGCGTCCGCGTGCTCCCGTGCGTTCTGAGGCGGCTCGCGTGATGACCCTCCTGGAGGCCCCGGGAGCGTACTCAGATAGTCCCAGGGCTCGTTCTGAAGCCCTCTTGGGCGCCTCGTGGGCCGTCTTGGAGGCAGTGGGGGAAGGCCCAAAAGGCACAAACAGTGCTGTGTGGCTTTAGCAGATTCGTCTTCACTGTGCTCAGAGCGTCCAAGACGGCCCAAGAGGCCCCCGAGATCCCCTCAAGACAGCCAAGAGGGGAAACAAGAACTGAAGAGGACTCCGAAATGCTCCCAAGAGGCCCCAAAGAGGTTTCTAAGAGGCTTCCATGAGGCCCACAAGAGGCCTCCCAAGAGACCCCACGGGGCTTCTGAGAGGCCTATTGTCCACGACCTAGGGGCGGTAGCGGAATGGGCCGAAGGCCACTCAATCCGCCGCCCCTTTCGGTTTGCCACAGGGGTGCGTGGCGAATCCGATTAGTGAATACTTTTGCGCTTCCAAGTGGTTCCCGGTGGCGGCCACCCAGGCGAATCATGAAGAAGCTTCGGCCGTCTCCAAAGTGCCAAAGATGGCCTCCAATATGGCCCAACATGGCTTCCAAGACAGTCCCAAGACGCCTCCAAGACGGCCAAGATGAACCCCAAAATGGCCCAAGGCGGCCCAAGACGACCCAAGAGGCCCCAAATACGTCCCAAGACCAATTCAAGAGAACCTCCAGAAGGGTCCGAAGAGGCCGAAATCATTGATGCCCTTCAGCTCTTCATGATTAAACGAACTCTCGCCCTTTCGGATTCAATTGTGTCCAGGACGGCCGAAGAAACCCCAAAGATCGTCCCCAGACGGGCCAAGGGGTCGCAAGACGCCCAAGGGGGTGCCAAGATAGCCTCCAAGTCGACCAAACGAAAGCCCAAGAGGACCCTATGTTGCATTCAAAAAGGTCTAATATGACCTCCGCGGCGGCCTGGATGGCCCAAGATGGCCCCAAGACGGCCCAAAATGGCTCCAAGACGGCGATCGCCCCAAGAGGCCCCCCAAGAGCCTCCCAAGAGTCCTCGTCGTCTTCGTTTTGCTCCCTCCCTCCTCCTCGCCCCCCTTCTTCTCCAAAATGTTCCCCCAATGGTTTCCACAACGGCTGGGGGAGCACATACTTCAACAAGTTGGCCAAACTCAATCCCACCGTTTGGCCACATGAGCGTTCCCAGAAAGGCAGGGGGCAGCAGTGAATAGCCGTAGTCGTCTTCGATCTGCCGCCTCAACCTGCAGGGGGCATGTTGGCGCGCACAAATATATAGCTTTTTGTTCCCAATGGCCTCTGGCCCAGCTCGCCGGCCCCGCGAAAAAACTGGATCTCGTATGCTTTTCCGTTCAAGATTGCTTCACGGTGGCCCCAAAATGGTCTCCAAGACGGGCCAAGATGGCTCCAAGACGGCCTCAGATGGCCCCAACACGGCTCCAGAGACCCCTAAGACGACCCAAAGAGGGCCCCATGAGCCCGCCAAGCGACACCCAAGACTGCCCTAAAGCGCCCCAAGCGGGCCCCAATACTGCCCAGAGAGGCCCCCGAGATGGTATCCGAAGGCGTCAGGCGAGCCAAGAAAGCCTCGAGACGGCCTAGGATGCTCCTGGAGGTTCCCTTGAGGCGCCAGGAGGCCACCAAGAGTGGGCCCCTCTAAGGCTCTCAAAAATCCCTCTGAAAGCCCCAAGAGGCCTCTCTTCCCTCCTCCTCTCCTTCCTCCCCCCGCATGCTAGGCATACCTATCCTTTTTCATAATTTCCGTTGCGCTGTTTGGAGGGGAATCTCCTTCCTCCCCACACATTCCCACAAGGGTTTCCACAACGGCTGGGGAAACACATAATCCAATAGCTTGGCCAGACCTTGGCACAAAGTTTGGCCACATAGGCGCTTCCAAAAGAATGAGGCGGCGGTGGTTCGCCGCAGGCACCAATAGTAATCCCTACATGCAATCACTGTTTCGGGATGTAGGAGCGTGGGCCCCCCAAATAGGCTCGTGTGACAATGGTGGTACCCATAGGGTGCACTGTATGGGTTGCACCTTACGGTGTGCAACATATGGGGCGCAATATATGGGGTGCAACCTACGGGGTTCAACTGATGGGATACGGCCTATGGGGTGCAACGAATAGGGCGCAATGGATGGGGCGCAATTTGCAGGTGCAAATGTGAAATAGAAAATGCACCTTTTCAGGTGCAATCCACGGGGTGTAACTCATGGGGTGAGATCTTCCCCAAACACCTCTTGCACCTCAGGGGGCTTGCTTGCTTTGCATTCTGGCCCTGGGTGGCGGCAATATTGGCGGTGCAAGGTGCTCGATTCGGCCCCCTGTGGCATTCCCTGTATGAGATCAGCTGGTATGCATGAGGACAAGAGGTCAGCCGGGACAAGCAACCGAGGCAGATGCGGCAAACTATCGTGCGTCGGACACTTTGTTCGGCGAACTTCCTTCCCCATCCTACCCTTCAGCAATGCTTTCAACGCCAAAGGTTTCTGGCTGCACCTCGATCTAGACTTGTATGTGCCCGCGCTCTCAAACTGGACTCCTTCTACAGCCTTTCATCCTGCTACAGCTTGCCACCACGGGCTGGACAGCCATGATTGGCTGAAGCAGCGAAGAGGAAAAACAGGTTCGTATTTCTGTCAAAGTCCCGAGCACGTCTACTGGCCTTCGTTTTTGGCCCAGGGGAGACCTGGGGGGGAAGCCACCCAGAGGTACGGAGGGGCAGGGAGAGCAGATGAAGGTGGCTTTCAGAGCGTCTGTTCTGCAGACATGTTTGGGCTGAGGCAAATACGAGATCGAGTCATCGCCTATATCGCCTCCGTGCTCAATGGCGTCATGCATCTTTCATCATCTCTCCATGGGAATTGCTCTTCGTGCCTACTCTGGCTCCCCCCCAACAAGGCGATGCGATGCTGGATCTGCTCGGCGACGCATCAGCACACTCGGGAGAGAGCCAGGAGGGCCGATCGAGAGGATGGAGGGTGGCTTTAAGCTGACAACAGGCAAACCAAGAGAGCAGGAGACAGCCGGAAGGCCACGGGAGACCTGTGACGGCCAGGGTCGGGGAAGACGTTGCGGCGCGCCTTGCCCCGCCCCCTGCAGTCCTGCGCACGCGGTGCGTTTCCGGCGGCTGGCCCGGAAGGAGCGGCGCGGGTATCTCGGTGACGCTCGCGAACTCCTGCCCCACCCCTCCCAAGCATGAGGCACACGTCTGGCACGTATCTGCATGGCGTGGAAAAGGGATGCGCGTTAGATGTGAAAGGCGTAGAAGTAAACAGTTGTGAAGGTGACGCCAAATTAAAAGCGGATGGCGAGGCCCTGACTAAGATTGCCTTGGAAGTATCTTCGTCATCACGATCTCTCTGTAGCGTACGCGGGGCGAGCAATGATGGCTGCGCTGGCCACAACAATTTAACTAGCCCCGTGTCCTTGCGTTAGTGTCTGACACTCAGAGCCCTCCGAATCCCGCGACAGCTTGCAATGCAGATGTATGATTCTGCCGTGTGCGAAAGTTGAGGGAAATAACGACGCTAAACAAGCTGCACAGTGCAAAGCGACAGGGCAGCTCATTCAGGAACACGGCGATACAGCTCCTAAGTGATTACCGCACGGTTCAATATAGGGAGTCGAGTGAAAGATCCAGCGCGTCGAGGCTCTGATTGCGTATCTGATGAACAATCGCCTAGCGGCACATGGGTGTGATCAAGATCGCCGAAAGATCCTCTCGCGTTGTGGATTCAGTTCCCCAAGTGTCATGTGGAATATGCCATCCTGAAAACAACTTGCTTTCATACATGTGGAATGTCCACCTGGTCCATTGGTCCCATACAATTTGTTTTTTTTTTAAAAAACTATCCCAGTGCGACCCTACCTATAGGAGTTGGAGCCCCTAGGAAAGCAGCATTAGTAGTAACGCTATAGCTAAGCTAAAGCTAAGCTAAAGCTAAGCTCAGCTCAAGCTAAGCTAGAGCTCAGCTAATGCTAAGCTACAGCTAAGCTACAGCTGAGCTGAAGCTAAGCTAAAGCTAAGCTAAACCTAAACTACAGCTAAGCTACAGCTAAGCTACAGCTAAGCCAAATCTGAGCTAAGGCTAAGCAACAGCTAAGCGAAAGTTAAGCTAAATCGAAGCCAAAGCTAAGCTACAGCTAACTATAAGCTACAGCTACGCTACAGCTAAGATAAAGCTAAGCTAAAGTTAAATTGAAGCTAAGCTAAAGCTAAGCTAACGCTAAGCTAAAGTTAAGCGAACTCTAAGCTGAAGCTAAGCTAAAGTTAAGCTGAAGCTAAGCTAACACTACGCTACATATAAGCTAAAGCTAAGCTGAAGCTAAGCTAACACTTAAGCTAAAACTTAAGGTACAGCTAAGCTAAAGCGAAGCTAAAGCTAAGCGAAAGCTAAGCTAAAGCTAAGCTACAGCTAAGCTAAAACTGAACAAAGACATGCACACACACGCACACGCACACACATGGATACATGCATACATACACAACTGCATAATTACGTGCATGCACACGTGCATGCATACCTTGGTTTTACGTTTGCCTTTGCTTTGCTTTGCTTTGATTATGCTTTGCTTTGCGTTGTCTTCGACAAGTTTGCTTTGTTTTGTCTTCGTTGATTTTGCTATGCTATGCTATGCCGCGCTATGCTATGCTATGATATGGTATGCTTTGCTATGCTGCGCTATGCTTTGCTATGCTAGGCTATGTTATGATATGCTATGCTGCGCTATGCTATGATATGCAATGCGATGCTATAACATGCTATGCTATGCTATGATGCGCTGTGCTATGCTAATCTATGCTATGATAAGCTATGCTAAGCTATGATATGCAATACTGTGCTATGTCATGCTATGCTGTGCTATGCTATGCCATGCTATGCTATGCTACGCTAAGCTAAGCTACATTAGGCTAAGCTAAGCTCAGCTAAGCTAAGCTAAGGTAAGCCAAGCTAAGCTAAGCTAAGCTAAGCCGAGCTAAGCTACGCCAAGCTAAGCTAAGACGAGATAAGCTAAGTCAAGCTAAGGGGGCGCTATGCTAAGCTATGCTAAGCTATGCTATGCAATACTGTGCTATGTTATGCTATGTTGTGCTATGATATGCCATGCTATGCTATGCTACGCTAAGCTAAGCTAAATCAGGCTAAGCTAAGCTAGGCTAAGCTAAGCTAAACTAAGCTAAGGTAAGCCAAGCTAAGCTAAGCTAAGCTAAGCCAAGCTAAGCTAAGCCAAGCTAAGCTAAGACGAGATAAGCTAAGCCAAGCTAAGGGGGCGCGACTGGGGGAACCGCGGGGCGGGGACTGGGGGAACCGCCCGGGGCGCGTTCCACTGCCCGGCCCCTTTAAGCTAAGAGAGTAAGAACCCTCTAGGCAGAGCCTAGGTAGGGAACAACGAATCCCGAACAATAACCGAATCCATCCTTTCTCTGATAAGACCAATAAAGCTTGCAACAGCGTCGATGTAGTACAACTTTTCATGGATGGGGTCTACAAGACCAGGCTGCTCCAGGCTTCCAGGCCTTACATCCGACTACTTCAGGTCTCCTGGGCCTCATCAGGCCGCTCTGGGCGTCCCGGAGCCTCTTCGCCACACTCTGTGGCTCCCTGGAACAACTTGGGCCTGCCTTGCCTTCCCCGGGTCTCCACCCACTTCCCTGGGTCGCTTTGAGCCTCTGTGGGCCTCTTGGGACCTTCTTGGTCCTCTTCGAGTTCATCTGGGTCTCTCTGGGCTCCCGTGGGCCCTTCTGGGCTTCTTTGTGCTTCCCTGTGCCTCTTCGGGCCTCTCTGAGCCACCTGGGGACTCTTCGTGCACGTCGCATGTCTGGGCTTCTTCTGGCCTCTGTGTGCCTTCCTGGGCTTCTGCGGGCATCTCTAGACATCTCTTCTTCGAGCAGTGTTTGACTTCCCTTTGCCTCCGTCTCGCAGTGCCTCTCATTCAAGGGCAGCTGCGCGGACAAGCGCACGCCTTTCATGTCCACGACACACCTTCGCAAGTGGCCATACACACTGAATTAAGTTATGGGTTTACGCATAAGCATACCTCACGGCCCCGACACAGGCTTCGAGCGCCTTGTTCTGCAACTGCGGGCTGCGGGTGTCCGATCCGATTGCCGCGACGCATGTGTCCAATGGCTCAGGGCGCATGTGGAGCGAATCCTCCTCCGCAGTAGCCCACATTCACAGATGCTGCCTCGCTTGCCCGTCACCAGCGGCTTCCCTCCGGAGCAGCGCGTTGAACAAGCACGATAGGGGGCCACATGCGAACCCTACCCCTACCCCCCCTCAGAAATCGTGGGGGGTTGGGGTAGTGTTCGCATGTGGCCCTCTAACACGAGACACGGCCCAGAGGCACAGGCCCTGCAGTTCCAAGAGGGCAACAACGGTGCAATCGTACGCCCTGGGGCGCGTAGAACACTGCATTCCCGTGCATGCGAGCACTGCCAATACAGTGGAGGCCAGTCCACAAGAAACCTTCCACAAGAAACCCAACCCTGAGACCCCAGCACGTCCATTGATTTTTGGTGTGGGAACGTCACGCTTTCCATGGCAAAACCATCGAAGCCCAAGAAGCCCAGGGCACCCTGTAGGCAAGCAGGGTGTTTCTTGGCATGGACCCCCTCTGTACGTCCCCGTTCGAGGTCACACGCAAGCTCTGCTCCCGCACACTGACAGCACTGACTGCGCGGGGTGTGTGGGAGGGGGGGAGTGGGGGGGGGACGGGAGGTGGGAGGCGCGGCCTCAACTGCACTCTACAAGTCGGCACTGCGCACTCATGATTTCCAGTCGGCGTCCAGGGTTAGGTCGAGCACGTCCCCCTACAGGCGGATTTTGGACGAGAGATAAAAGACACTCCAAAAATTACCCAAAATGGAAAACGTAGTCGAAAAATCGTCCCCGGACTATTGCTTTACTGTTTTTGCATGTCCCTCCCTGTAGAGAGGGACGCGCCCGACTTAAAAGTCAGCGCCCGACTTAAAAGTCAGCGCCCTGTAGAGGGACGCGCCCGACTGAAAAGTCAGCGCCCAGGGGCACCGTGCACTGCGCAGCCCCAGGGCGTCCAGGCCCCTGGCGGCCAAGAGGGGGGCAGGGCCCCGCGGGCGGCGGGTGGCTCGGGCACCCCGCACCGCCCCCGCCCCCTCCTTCAGCTGGAGCGTGAACGATTTCCTCCTGGGGGGTGGGGGCCCGTCGGTGTTTCCTCCACTACCTCCTCCAACACGACCCCCCCGTCGTCGTCGTCGTCCTCCTCCTCCTCCTCCGCATCCTCCTCCTCCTCCTTCTCATCCTCCTCCTCCTCCTTCTCCTCCTCCTCCTCCTTCTCCTCCTCCTCCTCCTCCTCCTCCTCCTCCTCATCCTCCTCCCCCTCCTATTCCTCCCCATTCCTAGTAGAATGCTTCTTTGCATGCCCGCCAGCGTCTTGGAGGCGCCTCCGAAGCGTCTGAGGCTGTCTCGGCAGCGTCTGGGGCCGTCTTGGGAGCGTCTTGGTCTGCCTCGGAAGCGTTTCGGGTGGTTTGGGATGCATCTTGAGCTGGTTTGGGTGCGTCTTCAACTGCTGTCAAGTGCCTTGGGCTGTCTTGGAAGCATCCGGGGCTCTCTTGGAAGCGTTTTGGGTTGTTCAGGACGCGTTTTCGGTTGTCTTGCACGGGCTTTGGAGGCGCATTGGAAGAGCCTGCTTGGGGACTTCCCTGCCTTCTTATCTTCCCCCTCCTCATCCGCATCATCCTCCCCTTCGTTTTCCTCCACCTCCCAAATGGCATCAATGCTTGCCTGTGGGATGCGGGCGTCTTGGCCTTTGTTCGCGAACTGCAAAGCATCAATGTTTTGCACTCGGCTGTTAAACACATAATGCTTACGTTTTGTGCGAGCCTTCATTGAATCTGCACCGTATTCAAAACCACACGATGGCGTAAATACGTACAATGGCGACGACCACGCCAAACGTCCAGTTGGGCTGGCCCGCGAGAATCCCATACCCGAAGGTTGTCTACATGGCCATCTCCAAGCGAAAATCGTGTTTATCGCACAAGGGAATGCAACGATTAGGGCGGCCACTGACAAAACCGTCGGTTTTCTCCATCTTCTCCCCCTCCCTCCCCTCCCCCTCCCTCCCCTCCCCCTCCTTCCCGCACCCCCCCCTTCCCCTCCCGTGGGAACAACCATCAGCCGTGGCCCCGTACGCAACCACTGGGTCACGTGGATCCCGCTGCCGCTCTACGGCCCTTGCCTCCAGGCCGAAGCTCGACCCAGTCGGGAGTCCGATCGGAGCGCTGACGCTGCAGCCTCGAAGCTGCCCTCACAGAAATCCGCGCAGCCGAGGGGGGAGGAAGGTGAAGTGAAGGACGATAATAAGGCAGGGGGGAGGAGGAGGAGGAGGAGGAGGAGGAGGAGGAGGAGGAGGAGGAGGAGGAGGAGGAGGATGAGAGGAGGAGGAGGGGAGGAAGAGGGAGGAATCAGAAGGAGGAGGAGGAGGAGGGAGGAGGCGGGCGGAGGTGGCGGAGAGAGAGGAGCAGGAGGAGCAGGAGGAGGAGGAGGAGGAGGAGGAGGAGGAGGAGGAGGAGGAGGGGCAGGAGAAGGAGGAGGAGGGGGAGCAGGAGAAGGACGCGGACCCCGCACGGACTGGGCGTTGCTGCGCTCCAACAGTGGGCGCCGAAGGCGGGCACACGCAAGCGAGGGAGGGGGGCCTCCGGGCAGCCCTCCCCCCAGTCCGACAGGCGCGCCGTGCGCCCCCACTCGAGAGATCAGACCGCGCGAGGCGCCCAGGCACCGAACCCCCCAGACGAAGGGAGGCACGAAAGGCCCGCGAGTGCGGGAGGCTGGGCGCGAGGAGGGAGCAAGGACTTCTGCTCGGTGCTCGAGCGTTGTGGATGTCACGGCAATGGACACCCTAACAGTCCGATCAAACACGTGTTTATAAAATGTTTGATGCATGTTTAACACATGTGCTTCAAACATGTTTAGACATCTGGGAATTATTTGGCAACACCCTTCCTCTCCATTGATCGTCGTCCACACCGCGAGCGGTGCTGCCATGAGCGCTGGTCACGCGGGCACCCACAACACGATTATAATCAGAGGAGTCCACGGCGCGGTGCGGCGAAGCGCGGGCACGCCCCGGACGGCGGGAGGAGGACGAGGAGTACGGCGCAGCAGGTGGCGGTCCTCGTGGAAGCCGTGACGCAGGTGGGTGCGTGCGGCGCTCCCAGCGCTCTCGGTGGCCGCCAGGCCGCCCCAAGCGTGAACGCCACGAGACCTCGTGCTCCCGCCCGAGGTCCCGACCCGAGCCAAGCGAGCGACGAACGAAGACGGGTCCAGCGCGAGATGGCACGGCGACCTCGCGCGGTGGCTTGCGCGGGCCGCCAGCGCGGTGCGCTACGCTGGAAGCGAAGGCGCTTACGCGCGACCCTACGCGGGCAGCTTACGCGCCAATGTCGGCGACGAACCCGTTTCCTTCCGTCGCTCAAGTGACTCAAATGACTCTCAGGGTCGGACACGAGCAGGGGATGGGGAGTGGGGATGAGACGGCCACGGGATCTGCCCTCGTCGGCAAGATGCAACAAATCACCGTCGGCCAGGGGATCTCGCTGGACCAAAACACGTCGCGCACTTAACAGAACTTGCCCTGGCGACACCCAAGAGCTGTTCCCCCTGGCCGACTCATGGCCCGCAATGCCGCTTCTGGTTAGAAGGGCCACAGGGACCATTAGCGAATAAAGCGATAGCGGCCCCTGGTCCCTCCTGCGCTTGGTGGGCGGGTCAGGAGATGGCGTGCTGAAGCTGGTCAGCGTTGCGAGAGGTGCGCATTCCAAGTACGGGAAGAAGGTCACGCGATGGCGCACCAAGCAAGCCCGCACCCATAGTCACGGAGGGGGTGCGGCCCCACGGAGAGGAGGGGGGAGGGGGAGGTGAAGCATCAGGCATGGAAGGCGGGGAGGCGGAGGAGCAAGCCCGCATCCATATGCATCCATAGTCACGGGGGCGGTGCGGCCCCACAAGAGGAGGGGGGAGAGTGGGGCAGGAGGGCAGGGGAAGGCGGGGGTGTCTCCAATTACGGGAGGTCCGCGTTGGCTGCTTGCCGCCTGTCAGGGGCCACCAATGCGGACCTTCTTCACGTGCTTCAACTGCAAGAGGCCTCTGACCGGCCCCTCGAAGCAGAGCGTGTGAGCATATGGCCAGGTTCGTTCCCTGACCCCAGCTGGATAGCCCTCCCTCTGCGCACCCCCAACCCAGGCCCTGGGCAGGCCAGCTCGAAGGCACCTGCCCCGAGCCCAAAAGGGGGCGGGACTGCAAGGAGAAGACGCAAGCTTCCCTGCGCCACGCGAGTCGGCCCCGCTGGGCCCAGGGGGGGCGGCTCGCAGACAGCTTCTCTGAACCAGAGGAGCAGCGACCACCAGAAGGAGAAGCAGGGCGCCCGGCGAGTCCAAACCAACTCAGGAAGGCAGGCTCGGAGGCAGCTCCGCCGAGGGAGCCAGCCAGCAGCTGCTCGAAGAAACGGCCCTGCTTGCGCCAGGATAGCCCACCGCCCGGCCACAGAGAGGCAGAGGCTTGGAGGCAGGCAGCTGCTCCGAGCCCGTGCGGCCCCGTGCTCCTGGGGGCGCCACCCAGCCTGGCGGAGCCCCCCATGGAGAGGGCGTGACTGGCGCGGGCCACCACGCCGCGGAGCTGGATGTCTCCCCGCTCATCGACGATCTGCCCACCGCGTGCGTCCGAAGCCCGTCGAGCGCAGCTCCTCGATGCCTCCCTCGCTGGTCAGGTCCCCTGGCAGGCACGCGACCACCAGGGGGGACTACACGAACGCGAAGGAGGAAGGCGAGAAGGAGTACATGTAGCACCATCACTACAAACACGAACCGGCTGGGAGCGAGGCGGAGGCCGAAGACCTCGCCAAGCCGCGGCCCCTGCCTTGGTCAGCCGAGGGCAACGGCTGTGCCCTTGAGGAGGCGAAGGCCCAGGAGACCTGGTACAGCCTGCAGAAGACGAAGCCGAAGAAGCAGCAGAAGAATACGAAGACGAAGAACCCCGGGAAGAGGATTCCCAACTGGGTGCAGAAGGAGTGCCGCATGAAGCTGCAGCAGCGCATGCCCGCGAAGTGGAGGCCCAGCTAAGCGCGTGGACCAACCCTCGGCCAAGAAGTGAGATTGTCCGCCGACGCGCCCTGCCCGCGTCGACGAGGCCTCGCATGATCCGTGCCAGAGGGCGTCGATAAAGGTCGAGGCGGAAGCTAAGCCAAACCAGGCGACGAAACTCGGGCGGCGCAGCTGGCTGTT